ATCCCAATGACGTATGCAAATATGTAACTGAGAATAATAATACTAAAATAGAATATCCCAATGACCACAAATATGTAACTGAGAATACTTGCAATAAAATAGAATATCCCAATTAAATATCGTATTGCCATATGGTCATATGTAAATGTCACCAGGCAGAATTTGTAGAGGTCTTCAATCTCAACGAAATATATACATTTTTACAATCACATATGCAGAACTGTAATTGCCCTTCAAACCCGGTTACATACAAACCAACTCAATGATGCCATATCCCATAAGACTATTTTCGCATAACCAGAGATCTTGGAACAAGCCTGGGCACCAATACATTCATACTAATTTAGTTTTTTACTGATTTCGGCACTTCTCCTTATCCTTTTCGGGTTTTTTCTCGCTCTTGCTAGACCCATTCCGGTTAAGCTTCAGCCACGAGCTCTCACTTTTACCCTTCCCATCCCCGATCGGGGTCGTATTACCCGCGTCTAACAAAGTTTTCTTATTACCATCCGCATCCACAGCATTTCCCAGGTCCGCAAAGCTGGCACTCTTTTTACGGGCCACTCGCGGAGACCCGTTAGATTTATAAAGTACCGAATTGGCACCGGCACCACTGGTCGAGAACTTGTTCAAAACAGACTTCTTCTTCGCACTGCTCTTGCTGCTCTTGCTGTCCTCCGATGTGTAGGACGCTTTGCCGTCCATCTTATCACTCGAGCCCTTACTCTTGTGGCCGGCACTTTTACTCAGAGTACTCCTACTCGTCATCGTACTCTTACTTGTTTTATCTTTATTTGCCGTCTCCTTGTCCTTGTCCTTGTCCTTCTCTTTCTTCTTCGTCTTCGGAGTACTCGCACTACTCTCCGGCTCCTTGTCACTCTTATGGCTCGATGTCTTGCCAGTCTTGCTCTTCTCCTTGGGTGACCAGGGCAGCGATGAATTGGACCGGGACGGGGACTTGGACCTAGACGCACTAGTAGTCTTTGCACCCGCTTTCACAATGCCTAGTCCGGCGAGCGACGGCGAACCGATATCAGCGGCTAAGTCGTTGGCATCGAGCCATTCGGTAGTAAACTCTTGGGGCTGGATGTCTGTGGGCAGCAGATCATGTGGGTTGATGCCGTCCTGGGCGTAGAACAGATAATACGCCTTGCTGGACACGAGGTCGGATTTCTGCGGAGGGACGGGGTGTGAGAGAAGGGGTTAATGCACATACACGTGGACGGGGGTGTGTGAGAAGGGATCAATGCACATACACGTTGTAAAACCGTCAATGGAGAGTCTAAAGCCTGCAATGGCCATGTATTACGGATGTGCTGAAATAATCGCATAGCGATACGTAGTGAGTGTGATGGTATGTCTGAGTGTGGTGGTATGTCTGACTGACTGAGGAAGGGACGATAACATTCAATCCGTGGAACGGATCATGCGTTTGTGAGCACAAGCTCAGATTCCCGGAGAAGCAATAGAGCGTGGACCAGATATGGGTAATACACGGACTGCTGATATTGATGGACAGCGATGCAGATACCATGCTTCAGTTGCACCTCTGATTAATGAAATGGACATGCACATTTAATTAACAATGCTTATACCTACCCTAGCCGGCGTGACCTTGTCATTGTTGAGGTGGTGCCACCACAAGACACACATCATCTCTAACCATATACCAAATCTATATATGGAATTTTACCTACCTTAGCCGGCATTTCTCTGTCATCGTTGTAGTGGTGCCACCACAATACACACAAACTCTATTCTTATGCCGAATCTATATATAGAATTTTACTATACATAAGCCGGCGTTACTCTATCATCGTTGTAGTGGTGACACCACAATACACACAAACTCTATTCTTATGCCGAATATATATATAGAATTCTACCTACCTTGGCCGGCGTGACCTTGTCATCGTTGTAGTGGTGCCATTCGCTAGTGCGGTAGTTCTTGGCGAATGTCGTATAGTGTCCACCTCCTAACGCGCCCGAATGATTCTGCACACAACAAATACAGAAAATGAGAATACATGTACCATGTACCACATTTACATTTACACACACATATAT